CTTCCTTCCTTCCTTCCTTCCTTCCTTCCTTCCTCTGTCCAGCTAAGCCGAACATCCGCATTTTCCCTGTGGCTCCTCAGAACACTCCAGATCCCATCATGCTCGCCTGCATGGCATGGGGCTTCTACCCAGGGGATGTCAACATCACCTGGCTGTGGAATGGGGACCCTGTGAAGGATCATCTGGGCCCCCCGCAGGTCACCAGCAACGGCGACTGGAGCTACCAGGCTCAGCTGAGATTGCCGGTCGACCCCCAGCAGGGCGGGACCTACACCTGCTCCGTGGAGCACACCAGCCTCGCTGAGCCCCTCACCCAGGACTGGAGTGAGTGGGGGCTGGGGGACAGCTGGAGGACTAATGGGGGGCACGTTTTCCTGTGAGCTGCCCCAGAAGCAGCAAGGCTGGTCCACAAGGGTACCTCTGTTCATGTGCAGAGGGCCTCCCCTTTTCAGCGAGTTCTCATCTCTCGGGGGTTGGGCAGAAAGGTTCCGTGCAGGGGAGTGGGCAGTAACTGTCTTCCACAAGGACCCACCGTTGTCCCGTCCAAGAATGAGCCCCCCAGATGCGCCCCAAGAAGCCACAGAAACATCCATCTTGCTGGAATTGCAATAGCCTGTGGGATTTTCCTCCTCTGGGGAGCAGAAAGTTCCTCCAGGACAGTGGCAACTTTAACATGTGTGGACTTCAACTCCCAGAATTCCCCAGTCAGTGTGCGTCCACATGTGCTGGCTAGGGAATTCTGGGAGTCAAAGTCCATGCTTCTTAAAGTCAGCATGGTTGAGAAATGCTATTCTAGGACATGGGGCGATTTGTCATGAAGGGTAGGTCTCCCTGCCCCCCAGCAACACTTGCTGCTGGGAGACTCCCGAGGGGCACATTGTCTTTTGGCACTGAAGGGGGCCAGTTTGCATCCGGGAAGTTGGGGTTCCCTGTAAGGCAGGGCAGCCACGTGGGTCTCCGGGCCGCCTTGTCACTGGGATGGCCGCCCTCTCCTAAGGGTGCTCCGAAGCAAACTCTTCCACCCAGACGGGGAGGGGGGCACTCAGGAAGCTTCCTGGCCTTCCGCAAATTGCAGAATGTAAATATCCCAGAAGGGGGGGCACATAAACCCCCCAAATGTGGGAACAAGAAGCAACTTTGGCAGAAAAAATGGGGGAGTAGGGAGCTGCGTTGGGTAAGAGAGTCCATTTTGGGGTCACCGTTAACAGTCCCACTTTTCTGTCCCGCTGCCCAGCCCCAGGTATCCCCTCAGAGCTCTGGATCAAAATTGGCATCTCGGTTGCCATGCTGGTTGTGGGGATTGTCGTCCTAGTGACCGGCGTGGTCTTCTGGAAGCGGTCCAGGGTCCAAGGTGAGATGGGAGCATGCAGGACTGGGAAAAGGGCTCCTCCTCTGGGGAAGGGCTATATCACTTCTGGTTAGAACCCCCAAACTCCCCAAAGCAAGAACAGAAACCTGTCGAGGAAAAAGCGGGGCCTGACCTGCTAGCTTACTTTGTGCGGGGAACGTAGTTGGTGGAGGAACTGCCAACCCTCCAAGCGGCCCTGATCGGCTCTCTGGGGCGCTGTTGCTCCCCCATCCCCAGGGCAAGGCTTCAGCCGTGGAGGGCACAGAGCCTTCTCCGCAGAAGGGGGGGGGAACTAACCCCAAGGCTTATAGAAAAGGCTCGCGGGACAAGCCCTGCTCCTCTGGTTTCTGGCATGTGGACGGGGATGAGAGGAATTGTAGTGCAGCAGCGTGAGAGTTGGTCTGGGCGGGGGAGACAGGCAGAAGAGGTCGGCCGGACCTCTCTTAAGGCGGCCTCTCCCTCCTGGGGACGCCCGCTGCTCTGGCCCACCTGGTTCTCCCCAAGGCCTGACCAACCCATTTCCTTCACTCTCCTGCAGGATACACCCCCCTGGAAGGCGACACCTACCCGCAGGAAGGTAAGCCAGGCAGTAGCCAGGGGGCCGTGGCTGACCGCCCTCTCCCCCGTGCTTGAGCCCGAGGCCTCCTGCCCGTTTGGCAGCTCCAGACGACGGAGAGGCCCCTGCAGCTGCTGGGCCAGGAGATGGCGGGCTGGGGGTGCACACGCTGCTTTCTCTGCAGGACCCAGAGGGGTGGCCGGGCTGATTGGTGGAAGGCAGAAGAAGAGGACTTGGGTGGGGGGTCTCCCCTGGGTTGGAGGGACACCTTTTGGATCCCTGCACTGATCTGGTGGGGGGAGGGAATGGCCTGCACCCCCTCCAACTGCAGTGCTCCTAGGAAGAAAAGCCCCTCCAGGCAGACCTCCCCCATTTATCTTCCCGTCCTCCCCCGTGGAGCCCAGAGGGCAGCCGATGACGCCCTCCCAGCCCCAAAGGCCTGACCAGGCTTTGCTCTTGTGCGAATGCCCCCTCAGATGCCACGGGGGGGGGGGGGCTCCCCACCCTTATTTCTCCACTTGCTGTGTCACAACCAAATCTCACCCCCTCCTCTCCCTCCACAGGTCAGTAGCGTTTGGACTCCCCCCAGTGGCCACTACCTGTCCCTCCTGGACGCCGGAGACCCCAAGCCTTTGCCCCAGGGGTCTCAGCCCCTTCCCTCCCTGCAGACCGCCTTTGTGCATACTGAGAGCTGTTGCCGTCGCAGAATAACCCGGGCACCCTCGCCACCCCCCACTCCTGCTGATGCACATGAAGGTGGAATGCCTGGGGGCCCCACTTGGCTCAGTGTGTCGGCTCTAGCAGAACCCCCTCCCCTCCACACCCATCTTCTCCCCCCAGGCAGGCCACCCTGCAAGTGGGCTCTTGAAATAAACGCTGCTCCCCGACTGCACAGCCTGATGGTGTTGGGGGCCCTCCAGCGGGGGGGAGACGGGGTGCAGAGTGCAAGTGGCAGCCTTTTGGTCTTT